TATATATATAAACTATATTGCTTACACCCTTGACATTTGCTCATAATAATATTTTTATTATTACAATATGGACAGCACGTCAGCTCTTATAGGACCAACTCGGGTGGCAACAACTTATCAGGAGTCTATCAACCTGAACTTATGTATCGTAGACGCTTCAACTCGAGTGTCGTGATGTACGTATAAGGTTGTAAACCACCTCATAGCACTACCGGCAAATATATATCTGACCCCTAGGGTGTCAGGTACCAAATCGAAAAAACCAACAAATTTCGGCACTTGCATTGCAACAACAACGCATTTAAATTCTCATTTTTCCCCGGATGATTCCAATCTGGAACAACCTACCAGTGGGTGTTGTGGAAGCAACGGACGTTGACACTTTCTAGTCAAGGCTTGACTCCCACGTGCACGCGAACCCTAGACCTAGTAGCATTGCACTCACATCATTATGCACCTGTTTGTTTATTGGGTTTATCCCTGAAGGCACTTACTACCTTGTCACTATATCCAGTGTAGTGGACACCGACAAGTACGAGAACATAATATAACATAACATTGCTTGTAAATACACCCTTGACATTTGCTCATAATAATATTTTCATTATATATTTCATTTCGTTTTGCCATGGCCGTACTATCATATTCATAAAGTTAGGAAAGTAAGGATGGGGAATTTTTATGGGTTTAAGAACGTGGGGAAGGTAAAGGATCCGAGGTGTTATATAGTGTTGAAAAGGCAGAGAATGAAAATATGTAACCGATGCATGGTTGAGTGGGGCCGATGGGGTCTTTGTCGTGTCAGGTACTACAGATATGTACCCGAGGTAGTTTTAGGTTGTTTATTATTATGTTTATATTTTTATATGGGGTATGTTTAGGGTTAGGGTTAGGGTTAGGGTACACTTCTGTAGTACAAGTCTGGTACACTTTGTGTATACATATATATGTACCTCGGGTACATATCTGTAGTACCTGATACGACAACGACCCCTTCAGCTTGAGTGGGGATGAAGGCGAAGACAGATGGTGGGTGCGAAGGTATGCGAGGTGACATTGTATTATTAAAAAGTAGTGGATACTGATTTATTATCAGTCTTTCACCGTGGAAATCATTATTTACTACCTTGTGCCACTATATATCCATTGTAGTGGACAGTGGACACCGACAAGTACGAGAACATAACATTGCTTGTAAATACACCCTTTACATTTGCTCATAATAATATTTTCATTATATATTTCATTTCGTATTTGATTTATTATCAGTCTTTCACCGTGGAAATCATTATTCCTGATCACAGTTTGCTAAGAAGTGTTTGCATGCTTACTATGGAGGTTGTTAGATGGCGCAGTCAATAATAAGCTGGGTGTTAAAAATAAATTTGTTCTTGCGCTCTTATTGGGCAGAAATTATGTCACGCATCATGAGACGACACCTGGTGGGGGAGCTGGCACCACAGCACAGCTGTTTTCAGTGTATGTTTTCGTCAAGCTCAAAGTTCTTACACAGCGAACCTCTTCTCAATTTTTGTTGTATTCTAAGTTTTTGATGATATTTCTACTTCTCCGACACTTCTCCAGTTTGAGGTTTATACTGGAAGATGTTGTGTCACGTTAGCAAGCCAGACTGCGTAGTTTTTGAGGTCGATGTTGACGATAAAGCGAAAGGACAGGAAGTTTTAGACTGGGTAAGTTGTCTAGAAATAGAATTTATACGGCCCGATGACGAACCGGAACGTAGCCCTACTCATTTCGAGAGATTACGTACTTGTAATGCCTAATGGCGCGAGCACCTAGTCAATTCTCATTTTTATTTTCATCTCTATACAGCTACACTACGCTATGTATTATGTGTAGGCGACTAGTATTTTCAGGAGTACATGAATAGAGAGATCTATTTGTCTGTCTAAAGTTATGTTTGTTTCAAGCAAACATGGTTTGCATCACAGGCACTTGAAACGTTTCAATAAAATATAATGCTAAATAAATACGAAATCTAATAGTAATACTAGTACTACAAAATTCTTAGTGTTTCTATACTCTCTTTCACCTATTATTGCTGACAGTTTTCTGTCAATTCCGTGTAAATGCTCTATGCACACACACTAACGCCGCCATTGCTCGCTGTGCACAGTGACTGTTAATATATATAGCAGGTAGGAAAGCGCTCGACTCCAATCCGCTCGACACTCGATGAATTCCCAAAGATTACAACACAAAGACACAACCATTCTACTCCATCTTTGGTTTCAAGTTCAACAGCAGTGTTCACTTGTGTATTAGCCCTAGACAATATAGACTGTCTCTGTTCGTAACCGCAGCTCTGTCAGCGCGAAAATCACAATAACATGGCGAAATTCGAGGGTTCGTAACGGTTGCGCGGTTCAATGTAAATGTCTGGCCGAATCAGCGAAAAACACCTAGCGGTGCTATTGCGTCATATCGTCAGCTGCGCCGTAAAACGCTGCAACTTGTTTTTGCTATCTGCTGCAAGGTGGAGCGAGGCTCGTAGGGAGGTGGTTAGAAAGCAGCATGGTAGTTTCCAAATGCAATGCGCTCGCTATAGCCATGTAGCTTGGCAGAATTGATACAATATTGACGCGAACGTTCACGCGAAACACCCAGAGAGATTTCGTCAGTCTTTGTGTGATGGATCGGTGACAAGCCAGGTATCGACAGAGGAATTTTTAGTTTATTTAACAAGTGCACAATGTTTGTTGAAGGAGAAAACTCGAAAGGTTGGAAGCTGTTGGATTTTTGTATTCGTGCTAGTGAAAGTGTGAAATCGAAGCGAGCGTCGAGGAAACTTTTGCGATTTCCGGCTTTTCCTACCTGCTATAGTTATGATTACGTGTAAGGCATGCATATCCGTCGCGATCCCGCGAGCAGCAGTTGGATACGGCGACATAAAGTTTTGACGTAGAAGCATTTGGACAGGAAATTTTACAGGAAACTTGTTTAGGCAATTGAATAGGTGAACAGGAGAGTAGGCCTATAGGGTATGAGGAATTTCTTGTATTTAGTTAGTGCTCTATGATTTTATGAAAGCTTCAGTGCTGTGGGTCGTGGGTCGTGGTGCCGATGCGTGCGTGTTGGTAACACAGGCACTTGAAGCGTTTCAATAAAATATAATGCTAAATAAATACGAAATCTAATACTAGTACTACAAAATTCTTAATGTTTCTATACTCTCTTTCACCTATTATTGCCGACAGTTTCCTGTAAATTCCGTGTAAATGCTCTATGCACACACACTACCCGGCCGCCATTGCCGAGGCACAGTGACAGTTAAATATACAGGATTGCGGCAACTTTACCGGTACGCGGGCTCTAGTACTAGAGCTATGGCATAGGAGGCTGACATTCTATCAATAATACACTATTACTAACGTATCTTCACAGCATGGCATATATCCCTACCTAGGTAGCCACTCCGCCACAGGCTGCTCTTACGGCGGAATAATGGGCTACACGAGTATAACTCGGCGAAGTATAGTGGCACTAGTGCCCTGATGAATCGGGGTCAGCCCTATAGACCGAAGGTCCGATAGACCAAATATTGCAAAGGGTTAGGGTTAGAGTTAGGGTTAGGGTTAGGGCATATATATGGTTTATAGTGGCATCATATGATTTATAGTGGCATCGTTGGATGTGCGGCATATTCACGTTCGAATACGGCAACAGTGGATATCCGGATGCGTAGCCTGGAGGCTAGGCGACCGATTCCGGACGTGTAGCCACTGCGTATTCGAAGAAACCTTCGGTCTATCGGGCCTTCGGTCTATCGGACCTTCGGTCTATAGGGCTGTAACCGATGAATCAATTCATTTGGATTTACGATTCTTTCCAGCTGTTTCATTTAATAACTCACTCAGGGCAGTGTTCCATTGGAGTATAAAATTGCGCTGTGGCTATATATGCCCAGCAGCCGGCACCCTAACCCTAACCCACACCAAATCCACCAAAATCGTTGGTGTGGGCATTGGTCAGAGGAATCTCGGACTAGTAGACACCATGCTGAATTTGTAAAAGGACCCCCCTCAAAAAACGAAAGCCTACCTACCTACACAAACTTTTCAGCCTGGGGCAGGTGAGGGCAAACAAAGATTTTTTTAAATTGTGGCATTGAAACTTCGAGGCAGGGCACCTTTAATTGAAGAGAAGAAGAATTGCAATGTGTTATTATATTATATTTATGTGTTATTATTAGTGTTGTCAATCGGTTGTAATTTCGTAATCGATCATCGGTTGGACCCAAGTAACCGATGATCGGTTACAATCGGTTACTCGGGGTGTTGAATGCCTGCATGTGCGTAACGTCGTGTGCATGTATGTGGCTTGTTGTAGCCCTGTTTACTGTTTGTTTTGCACTGGCATCTTCACTACGTGTGTGTATTAATTACATGTATGTTAATGAAGGATAACTTGTATAGTATTAGTAGCGATGATATCTCTGATTCTCATCACTTTTTCGATTATTTTTTTTCAATTTTTTTTTTCCTATGAAATCGATTATGGATTTTGATAACCAAGCGCTTGGTTCGAGCCACTGTTCAACCGATGATCGAGTATAATCGATGATCGTGACATCACTAAGCGCTTGGTTCGAGCCACTGTTCAACCGATGATCGAGTATAATCGATGATCGTGACATCATTAGTTATTATATATGTGTTATTATATATATTTCACCTGCATGAGAAAATGAACTATACCATCATAAGAGTTATACCACATACAATGCACACCGTTCGAGTTTAACATCAAACAGGTAATATGTAATTTCAGTGTTGCAGTTGGTTTGAACACTAGGTTGAAGTATAAGATAAAAAAGTTGTGTTTGAAAGTGCAGGGTCAGCCTCTGTAATTACTCTATTTATTAATTTGCTTTCTTTATCATTAGCCAGTATATATTTGGGCAAAAAATTGGCACGATACTTGTTTGATTAAATGGTGCATAAAAGCTATTTATAGACACAGTTTCACAGCAAAATACCGAATGAATGGACAACAAGAATGTTTTTTCTCAATCTAAACTTTTCTGCAGCAGATCAGCTTGTCCTGGAAAAGTGGAACTCTATTACTTATATATATTATATTATATTATGTAATATATTACATTATTGGCTCCTACAAATGCTATCAAAGGTTATTGGCAAAACTACACTGCATATATATATATGCACTCTTGATATATATATATATATATGCATGCATGCATGTAAACAAGAGCTTTATGGGTATTTATTAGGGTAGGTATACTATAACAAGGGTATTTATTAGCACTTGATGTAAACTATACACGCAATGTATGTGCCTTATTTCTGCCCACCCAATAAAAATGTCTTCCGCATATGATATTCCAATAATATCCTTTCTTTGCACATCCACATGGTCAATTATTTTATTAATGTCCTGCTAATTCATGACCGCCTCACTTATGTTACATTTCTTTGGGTTATATTGCGTTTCCTTATGTAAACCCGTGCATTCTAGACAATTCTGTCTACAGAATATTGTGCATCTACTGTCTTTATTATATGCTACTCTATCACTCTATGATAATTGTGTTGTCCCATTGCAGTACTAGACTAGTGTATTATATTTGAAGTAGCATTTTGTTCTCGTCTACCCCATAAAGTGTTCTTCAGCTTATGATATCTCATAACATGTTATCAGGAGTGTATCAAAATTATCAATGCACGCTCTCATGGACATTAATGTCATGCTAATTTATTACATCACATCTTGATCACATCTGATCACATGTTACAGTTATGGTATGTTACGTCTCCTTACAAATTACGTTCTCTTCAAATAACATTGTATGATTACAGTTTTCATAGCAGTATAGTCTTTCATAACCTGCTAATTATTATGTTCTTCTTGCAAAACGCATGACTTTATTTGCATCATACAAATATCACTTATTATTCTCTACTTTCTTCTGAAACAAACATATGATATTTTGGTCGCGAAAGCAACCCAGGCAACGTCGGGTTCCCACCAGTGCACGCACGCATGTGTGCGTGTGTATAATATATTCATGCATGTGGGCAAATCTTTCCATATATCTTCTGTGTTGAGTGTCCTGTGTATGTGGTTGATTATTTACAACAGAGCTGTATCCTGTCAAGATCTAACCAGCTCTTTACACAATACACATGTACAAGTAAAAGTCCTGTAATAAGTGGGTACTGGTTATAGTCTGGTGTCTTTCCAGCTGAAGTCAGTAATGCCGCCATAGAGGGGCTCTTCTGTTGTTACGCAGCCGTCAGAAATGTGGCAAGCGTTTATTCTGTTTGTGCGTAGGTCCTGACTATTTTCTCTGCCTGAATGGTCTGATAGTGCTGAATCAGACCAGACAAAGCCGCCTACCATTTAGAGATTGAACACGCCCCTGGCCGACACGGCTATGCTTATCTCCCCGGCGTGACTTCTACTCACTGTACGTGGACCTGTTCATGTTTTGTCTTCCAGACGCAGTAACCCACGTAATTACGTTAATTATCCATGGTTAATTAGAAACCAGGTAATGGCCGTGCGTGCAAAGCATGTGATGTAGCAGGTTTATATTTTCATGAATGCACAGTGACACCGACCCAACAGGCTGCCTATACCATACATCCTGTAATCCCCATATAAGATTTGTTCCTGGAAGATTACGTTGTTGAACTTTGCAGCAGATTGAGCAGTATATATATGCGTCGCTATATTGGGTATGCTATATTGTCACACGCACCCATACGCGGATACACATACGCACGTACACACACACACACACGCACATTATGCACGTATGCACACACACGTACACGCACATTATCAAGAGCGTATAAAGAAGGCCGGCCTTCTTTATACGCTCTTGACATTATGCACGTATGCACACACTGTGCTGTGCCGGCCGTTTCCTCATCTAGCTGGAATAAACCTTGACAATATGTTACAACTAGAACGCCAATGGAAACTTTGATAATAAGCGAAAAGATTATAATTGTATTGAATGTATAAACCATACAAGCAAACAGGTATATATAATGGAAAATATTACTAGCAAACAAAAACTACTATATATTGATTGAGTACTGATACCAGTAGACTCAGTAGTCTGTATAGCTTGTTGATGCACCAAAAATGTACAGTAGGCAACTCGCTTTCACTGATTGTGATTGTATATGTTAGCGGCCTGACTAAATGGATGCTCAACCTTCAATCAGATTGCATACATCTATATATAGCCGCGTTCACACGGGCGAAGGAACTCGGGTCGAAAACGACACGGAGCGTCGTTGAAGAGAGCGTTCACACGACGCTATGCGAGCTGTGAGCTGAGAAAAATAATACAATGCGTCCAAGCGAACAATGCGAATTAAACAATCAAACTCTTCTGACTGACTTCCAACTATTCTGTTTACTTTCGTGTTGTGACGTACTAATTCCAACCCGAGTCGCGCGTTCACACGGCAAAAATGAACCCGAGTCGTTTTCGGATTCGGACAGGACTCGACAAAACAGGACTCGAGTCGTTTTCGACCCGAGTCGTTTTCGCACCCAATCTGGAGTGGGTGCGGAAACGACCCGAGTCGTTTTCGTACCGAGAAAACGTCCGTGTGAACGCTCGTCCCGGGACGCATTTGACACGGGTCGTTTTCGACCCGAGTTCCTTCGCTCCGTGTGAACGCGGCTTATATGTATCCTTGTCTCCAGTATCTGCATACTGTTACATAATATCAAGAGCTAATAATACATTATATTATTGCATTATACAATAATACATTGTATTATTGTATTATACAATAATACATTGTATTATTGTATTATACAATAATACATTGTATTATTGTATTATACAATAATACATTGTATTATTAGCTGTTGATGATAATGTGCGTATTCACTATTTGCTGCTTTAGAATGTCTTTCTCAGATAAATGTGTTTGCTGTTATACCAAATGCATTGATTGACTTGCGTAGATGTGTCTGGTCATTCACTGGTGTTACCAGAAATAGATGGATAGAAACATCTATTTATGTACTCCTGGTATTATTTGTTTTACTATGCACTGGTAGAGTAGTTCACACTGGCCACTAATATTTTACCACAGAATTCTAAATAAGATATCATAATTTGATATGATAAATACTTTGATGGACAGAGATGGCAACTCAGAAATCACAGGAATGTGCCTAAGAAATGCTGAGTGGTGGGTGGTGGAAGGATGACAGCATTAAAGTCCTGCAAAGAACGTGAAGTACGGGGGTTGTTAGTTTTGAAATAGACCGTGCATTGTCCTGCAATCTAGGCCATTCATTAAGTTTCAGACCAAACAAAACCAAGTGATTTCTCGACGGACTGCTATACTGACACAAAATCGTCTTACTCAAAGAATAATGTCAGTCACCATCACTCTATAGGGTAGCCAAGATCCTGTACCCATGTAGTCCTTCTGTTGGGCTCTGGGTGGCCCTGTTGGTTACCGCTCCAGTGACAAAGCAAAGGGCTACACAGATAGAGCTATTAAAGATCCTCTATGTTGAGGGCATTTTCTTGTGCTGTTCGCTCATGTTAAATGAGCCAAGCCTATAAGATATAGGCAAATAGTAATGACATAATAGCAGTTGGGCTGAAAAGTGAATAGTGTTATATCATGTGTAATCTCGAGCTACATAATAAGCTACCCTAAACCTGTTTGAATGCCTGTTTCGCTTGACCCAAAGTACAGCAACCTCTGTCAGTTGGTTTTTAATAGCCAACGAGTGAACCTATGTGTGAGCGGTGGTGTTGACTGTTGATTGATTAGACCAAATTGTCCAACGAAATAGAGTCCTGGGGTCATGTGTGGGAGCATGTAGAAGCACCTATACGGGCTGTCCAACCCACCATGGCGACATCCTTTAATTTAAATTGGGGAGAACCTGTTGGATTTACTCATTTTACATTTCTATACCCTGTATTTTATATACTTATTCATTTTTATTATCGTTTGCTAGGTATGCAAGCAGCTATCCATATTAGAAGTCGATTACTTTGGGCTCCAGTACACTGGCCCTCGAGAGGAACAGCTATGGTTGAACCTAAGAAATAGAGTGAGCAAACAAGTGCAGGGAGCACCCCCTTACCGACTGAGACTGCGCGTGAAATTCTTTGTTGAACCACATCGCTTGTTGCAGGAATCAACAAGGTACTAGATTGGATGAGTTGAGCTTTGGTATTGATTACTCTGCGGTAGTCACTTTGTATGTTATTCACTTTTTCTACTGTGTAGCTAAGGTAGTTTTTACTAGAAATTGCCTTCCATTCAGTAAGGTAGTACTGACCTTAGTCTACCTATGATTTATTACGTATAACTCAATTAATATAAACTAAAATTTTACATTAGAAAAACCATAACCAACATCCTTAATCAATTTTCTCATACATAATACATGCACCCAATTTATTGCATACAATCCAGAGCAATAGACTAAAATCTATGGTAGTCATATAAAATATAGTTTTGCTCTATGATCAAAACAAAATCAACAAACAAACAGCAACAGCATTATTATAAACGTCAATATAAAATTTGGAAATTTGGCAAACTATTGTTTTGACTGTTTTTACTAGCTTTACGTTTTACTAGATTTGATATACGGTCCCCTTCCACTTGTTAAAACCTTCATTTGCGGTAGATGGGGACCATTGGTGGTGAAAAATCTTTATCCTCGGAGACAGCACTGTTCAGCAGGCAACATTGGATTTATATTTCATAGTTTTTAGAGTGTGAAATTCTCTGCAGTTTTTCTGTTATTTTTTCACTGCCATAAAACAAAAAAATGCAGCTCACTCAGTTCTGATAATATATAAAAATTGTCATGCCAATAAGCCAGTTCGTAGTTGGCCAAAGGATTGCGTGACGTCACAGGTCACCGGGTCATTTGTGACAAAAATCGATGAAATCTCGAGTGCGGCGTGCACTCTTGGTTCAGTACGTACGGTATGTATGTATTCTGTGTACGTGTACACGCACGCATGTGTACGTGCACACGCATGTACGCACGCACGCATGTACATGTACGTGTGAACACCCACGCACGTGTACGTGCACACGCACGCATGTGTCCGTGTACACGCACGCACGTGTACGTGTGCACGCATGCACGCACGCACCTGTACGTGGCAGCACAGTGCACTCATGCACGCACGCACGCACGCACGCACGCACGCACGCACGCATGCACACACACGTGCACACGCACGCACGTACATGTACACGTGCACACGTACACACACACACACACCGTGACACACGCACGTGTACGTGCGCATGCACACACACACGCACGTGTACGTGCGCATGCACACACGTACGCACGTGTACGTGCACACGCAGACTGTAGCATCACAATGACACATATGCATGTGTATGTGTACTGTGCGGTCGAAATACGAAATATAACGACCTGACCCGGAAGAAATAGTGGCAAAGTTCGTGCATGCGCAGACTGTAACTACGAACTGGCTTATCCCAATCACATAAATTTTCATGGTTTCCATGATAGTTTTGTGGATGTAACATTTTTAGCTCATCTGACATAGTCAGATGCAGCTTGTAGAATCGCATGATCGTCCGTCCGTCCGTCCGTCCGTGCGTCCGTCCGTGCGAGCGTCCGTCCGTCTGTCCGTCAACAGTTGGGCACAAATCTTAACCGCTCGACGTACGGTCACGATATTCGGGACGTGGGGGGGTAATCCGAAAACGAGTTGGGATGTCGAAGCTGGGGGTCAAAGGTCAAAGGTCAAGAGGTGTAAAAGAAGGGAACATTCACTCCTTAACTTAAGGTATAGGGAGGAAATGCAGAATTGCGGCACAAATCTAAACGGCTCGACCTAGGCTCGTGATAGTTGGTGTATAGCATCATGGTAGGAAAAGCCATCACTGTGCCGAAATTGGAGGTCACAGGTCAAAGGTCAATGGGCACAGGGCAGATTTTAGACGTTTTCTGAGGACATGGTCTGACGGAGCGATTGAAAAACTTTTTTGTTTCAGCGGTGACCTAGCATTTTTATGGCATTATTGAAAGGACCATGAAATCTACTTTCTGCTGACATGCGAAGAGTAAGTGTCAGATAACCTTTTGACCCTCAAGAGGAGGGTTAAACATGGATTTGTTGACTGTCTGTTAGAAAGAATTTGACTGCCGGGTTTGCTAGTAGAATCTATACATGCCTGGATGTATGAGGCTACAATGTCACAGTGAAATTTCAAAAGCTAAATTTGGTTAAAGAAAGTTTATGCTCCTTAAATCGTATAATTTCTATGGCATTCTGTACTGTCAGTATGTTACATGTAACGTATGCCACTGCCAGTGGCTACTGCCAGTGCATGTGTTGGTGATACTGTGTAGTTTTTGCCTGCGTTAATTGGTTACAGGTGGCAGCTCTCTATTGCAGCCTGTAGGCTTGCGTAGGTAAATGGATGAGTGCTTACCTATTCTGTCTTGCAAATAGTTGTTGCTACTACGTATGATGGGAGCTTCCATCTTTAATCTGAAGACACTTAAACGTACGCGCCATCTCGTGGCAACTTTCATAACGATCCCAACGAACATTCCTTTGAGAAGGTTCCTGATACCATCCCTGTGCATTCCACTGTTTCGGCGTGTATGTGAACACATTTGGGACTAACAGGGTTTACTAGAATCCCACCACTCCACCACAGAGTCACCGCAGTAGACGTTAGATGAGCGCTGTCGCTCTGCGGCACTTGTTGGTGTTAATTAATAAATTATAGTAGTCGCCATGTACCTGAATGTTAATTTATACACTAACTTTGTTCTCTGATCCCAATTCCTTTTCTTGGTTATTATCTGTGCAGGCACCAGTTTTACTTGCATCTGCGTCAGGATCTTATGGCACACGACCGCTATCTGCCCCTGGTTGGCATTGAAGTCCTTATACAGATGGCAGCACTAATCGTACAAGCTGCCACTGGTGACTGCAGTGCTGCTGCACACAAGGAATACCTGCAGGTGGTGCCAAATGCCACGGAAGACATTATAGATAGGATCGTAGCCTGTCATTTGGACTTAGCTGGACTAGGTTCAAGCAGGTCTGAATATAAACTCCTTCAGGTACCAATTACAATTTTACATCTATTTTGTACAAATTAATACTGGCCGATAGTCTAGTGGAAAATTATGAAAATCCACTGTTATTACTATATCATACACTATACTAATAGTATTACTATAGAAAATGACTAACTTATCAAACTCATATGGAATAACCTATGGCATTATTATAATTATAATTACACCATTTCCTATTTAGCAGCCAGAATTCTCTGTTATGAGACACAATGAGGCAGTGATACTCAGTTCAACCATTTTGTTGTTGATGTTTCACGTGCCTACCTTTTAACCACATTTTATAGGAAAGTCACGATATAGAAACAAGCATGTTTATATGCTATTGAATCATTACAGTTGGCATGGGACTGTGAAGTGTTTAGCTTGGAGTTTCATCAGGTTACTCTAGAGGGTGGTGTCATACGGCAGTTGGGGGTTAAAGCAGATGGCCTCAACATGTATGACAAGAACTTCGATTTCATACAAAGGTATTATTTCATTTATATATGATTATCATTATAGGATACACTTCTGACATGTAAATACTAGTGACACTGACAGTCATGTCCCAATGATCGATTAAATTGACTACGTCACGAATTTTCTATGGTAAAATTTGTAAAAAAAAAATTGCCATTTTTTTACATTAAAAGTAAGAACTAACGTTACTAAATATATCCTCAAACTCTCACCTGATAAAAATGTTTTTACGTTGGTTAAATTTGCAAAAATCTAGACGATTTGGTAATTTCTGTTGTCTAACACTATTCCTCCAGCACTGTTCTCTCTGTAGACTAGCCAGTACTGGCGTCTCTCGGTTTTTCACCGGCAAATTAGGGCATATTTAAAGAAGGTATATTAAGCATAAAAGTAAACAGAAACAACTAATTGGTATTTTCATACATTTTGATTTTGTACAAATAACACCACATATGTACTACTTGATGGTGCTTGAAATTCGTGACGTAATCACTTTAAAATTGAATGTTCTGTTGAATAGATTATTGATTATGAAAACAAAAAATTGATCATCATTCTTTTAATAGTTAAGACCTGTGAAAAAGGAGTCTGCTAGCGTTATTACATATTGCGTGCCAAAAAGCACTGCATGAAAAGATGACAGAAAAAGCTTCGAATATGTTTCTCAGATTTTGAATGCATATTGTCTATATATGCATAATGTGTCTATATTGTCACAGAACATTAAAATTGAAATTTAAAGATTTCTGAAAAATGTAGACGTCAGATTTAAAGCCTCACAATTGCGATCCAAACGCTAATTTCTCCAGACTAGACTAGCAAATACTTGCGTGTCATGACATAATCACCACTACTTATGACAAATTAAACTCTAGTTGCTCCCATTTCCGGCCGCGTTTTGCTTAAAGCCACAAGAAAGAGGCTGAGAAAACTGCCATTCTGGCGCCAGCGACTGTTTGCCAAACAGACATAGCCTCGATAGTGCGTGACGGGGACGTTCACATGTTTGTTATTCCTTGTGCCTGCGCCGTACCCGCTGTACCCGCAGCACCCCTGCACGGCTTGCTTTGGGATTGGGGAAACTGCTACAACAAACATGTCGGAGAATTTCCAACACATTGGAGTATTTTCGAAAATACCTTTTATAAGATCAACGCGCCAGTGAAATGCGGAGCGAACTAGAGTTTATTTTGTCATAAGGTAGTGTGATTATGCATGCCACGAAGTATTTGCTAGTCTAGTACTGGAGAAATTAGCGTTTGGATGCGCATTGTGAGCCTTTAAATAACATTTATTCTGAAATGAAAACAAACAAATATTCGGAGACACAGTTTTGGAGCCATAATGTGCAAATTTAGCTAGAATAAAAAGTGACCGTGACCAGTGAACATTAAATAAAAACATACAACGGAAACATTGGCTAGATCTCTTGGTTTTAGATTAGATCAAATAAATTATCATTATAATCGATTATTGATCAGTTGGATTATGAAATTCCAGCTGATTCTAAACACTAGTAAATACAGTGTTAATGTTAGAAATGAGGTTTATCTCAGGTATAATCACCGTATAATGTATTGAAAACTGAACTGTGACCAAGTACGTGAATATTTCGAACAATCGTCAATATTCGAATAACAGAAAAATGTTTGCATGGATTAAAAATCCGCATTTCTTTTTTTAGAATACCATACACCAGCATCGTTAGTGCAACACAAACAAAGTGCAACCTTTATCTGGTCTGGAAAGGTGATTCTGCACAAAATCACTCGCTGCACTTCAAACTACCTACCCGGCGTGCTGCCATAGCTCTCTACCGCTCTGTAACCGAACATCACACATTTTATCGGTGTGACCGAGTGCACTATAGTGTGATGTCACAGTACAGTCGGGATTTGAAAGGGACCCTGGCCTCAATCTTCAATGAAGATACTCCATTGGGGAAGGAGTACAATTTTGATGTGCGTCGCACGTGCATAGAAGTGTATGACCAGGTGAGAAGAGACCTGTATCGACTGAGTGTAAAGGATGCTGAAATGGCATCGCCTGAATCTACACCTAAGCATAATGCCTGTGCCAACGACTCTACCTCTGATGAAAGCACTCAGCAACTGAAGGTATAAAATTGTAGTTTAAAATGAGTTGTGTGCAAAACCCTAAATGCATTGGGGATCCAGGAAGTTAGGAACCCCCAATGTTACCGCATATCTGATTATTTAAGTACTTGACAAAAATCTCAGTTGAACCAGAATAATATATTTCAAAATAGCAAATATATACTCAAGAGACCATCAGATTGCAACCATATTTCGATAAAATAAAGTCGGTGGGAAGGGGTTCCCTAACCCTTCCTCTCCAAGTGCATTAGACCAGAATCCTTTCTTCCAGAATTCATAGTTCTGCCCCTAAAGTTTTCCCGTCTCTTGGGCATGGTGTAACATTGCTCGCGGTCATTTTAAAATAAAATACTTTAGTGTCGTGGTGTGCTGATCCTAAATATAATATAACAACATGCGTTATATTTTCAGGAGTTGCAGGATGCTCTGTCCTGCAGGGTGTGCATGGACGAGGCGATTTCATGTGCCTTCTGCCCATGTGGTCACGCTGTCTGCTGTGATGCGTGCGCCGCACGTTGCCCGCAGTGCCCCATCTGCCGCGCAGACACAGAGCGAACGCAGCACATCTTCCTGCCTCTCCCAGCTGTCAGGCATAGAATCTGTGGGGAAACTTGCTCACAGTTGGACACAAACTAAAAGCTATCCTGCGATAAAAAGCCTATGGGGTATCGTTTACTAGGTTTACTTAATATTTTTGCAGCGAGTGGCAAGCGTTGCAATTTTCATGCCCGAGATTAGTGAGTGACGTAATTAAACAAATCATATTAAAGAAAGTAAAACTGATATGAACTGATGCATCACAATGGTTTGATCGCCTATAAATTTCAGTAAAATCTGAAGAAAATAAAGCTTACCCAAAATAGAAAAAGTATATGTGTATAAATACATCATAATTGTGTTAGATATAATAATACAAAACATGCTGTCTTGCTGAGGTGATGTCTTCAATAAGGTGTCCAGTGATGTGACCTATTATCCTACCTTTTATATATTACAGCATATATATGTATATTATATATATATATCTCCTGATATATTATATATCTACTATTTTCCAACTATAGCTTAAGTCTATTTCTGTAATGTAGTCGCATTTTCTATAGGGAGATGGCATTTTGATATTAGCATATAAATAACTGGCATAACTTGAACTTATTAATATTAATATTATTTAATTAAAATAAAATTAACAACAGTTTCTTAGATATCACTGATATATTGATCTCAAAATGCTGCTTTACTGCATAAAACTGATCTCATGATCTTCATGTTTTATATCCCATATATTGTTAGATTTGTACACGTGTTGATTTCTTCGATGTAATTCCAGTAAACATGCAAAATCACACTTCGGTCACTCCATTTCAAATGGGCAAAATCCACATACTCATTCGTCTCGGATTCACTCCAAATTTTCCACAATTATTACAAAAACGGTATGAAATTCAAGCTCGGTATTCCAAATTGTTTATGAGATTTTGCCATTTTTCTGAACAGGCTATTAAATTTTGCTTGACAATCGGACTGCCAGTTTTTAGGCAATTCAGTCTGCTATAGAGATATACTTATCTGATCTTCAGGATAAGGTACCATCATCCATTCATTATTATCAGTCAATTGTTACTTGTGATTTTCAAGGTATAAATAGTTTAAGAGCTAAAATTTCACATTGTTTAAATTAAACATTTGAAGTTGGAAGAATGTATACTAGAATTAATACTAGAATGTAATTTTTAAAATATTTGTTGATTTGAAATGGGTTGACCCATATACTATGGATCTATTATATTTGTTAAATAGTAAGACATTTTGGGAGTACATATAAACTTATCTTGTCACCTGCTAATTTAGCCCCTCAGTGATCTCGCACTGTCATTTAGATCTGCCGGCAGATCATTTGATATTTCCTAAAAAAAATTGCTGGAGGTGCAACTGTTGCACAGAATTTCTTTGACAACCATATTTAATTGACAAGAAATGGAGTGATTGATTCAGTGATCAATACTTTAATCCACGTATGAATAGATACTAACAAACCTGCAATCACACGTGTACCTATCGCAATTAGCAGGCTACCAATTGATGTTTTACTCGATCTTGTGTGTAATTTGTCATGATATTATAGCTAGATATTCATGCGATGTTCATGTTCACGGTGTAAGTGTGAACGTATTTCTGCCAGGAAATTGTTCAGAAAACGTATACAGTTGCTCAGGGTAGTATTGAAATTTGTAAATAATGGCAAGTCAAGTGTCTGCGGATTGTCATATTTCTGCTGGTGGAGTGGCTATGGAGGATAGGCAGAGTACAGTGGTGACTAGAGTAGATCAGCGATCTAACTGCAACAAAAATGATGGGGGCCGGGGTAGGGCACATTCAATGCAATATGGATTGTCCTTTGACAGGATTCCCAATGTATATTTTTATTGTAATTGTAGTTTTTTATTCGGCTATATTTAACATTTACCCCTGTATTTTAATGTGCTAACGTGCATTGTTGAGTAGCAGAAACACGTTTTCCAAATCATAAGCAATCAGTTGTCAACCAGTTTGAGATTCTAGAAGTTGGCAAGGTCATTTGTATTTCTGCTGGTCAGACAAAACTGAAAAATGACAGAAAAGTTGGTGTGCAGTGTCGTTAACAAAACATCAGTTAAACCGTTAGTGGCTGCGTAATATTGATGAACGTCATTATTATGTGTATGTCTTGAAATCAGTAATCTGTAATGTTGAGCAACCAATTATGCCAATAATATTTGCCCGATTAATGCAGAATTGTAAGAAATAGTAATGCTAGGATTAAGAAAAACTTTAGTTACTTTTGATAGTACGACTAGTGAATTATATTAATGTTATTACATGGATACTGTTCTTACAGCCCATATATGATTGAAATTTGTCAAGGACGAGGTGCAGAGTTGTGAGCCATTTTACCTTCACTCGCAAATGTAGGCCTACTATGATTTTTTATTTAGGCATAGTTTGAGTGTTTCTGTTTGTTGGACCTCGGTGTCAAATTTAGAGTGTTTACGCACAGTTAACAAGCTTATTGCTTAAGTTCTATAATATCAAACACTTTGTTGTTTTTCTCAACCTTATAGCAATGTCCTTGATCACTGCTAACTAATTCTACCACCAAGTCATCATTTTCTGGATTTCTTAATCCATAAGTGATAATAAAGTGATAATACTGATAATATAAGTGGTGTAGTCCAAAGATACACATGAGAGGGGATCAAGATTACTGGCATCTTTAATATTCTGCCCATTGATCTAATCATGTGTGTATGGGTTGTTTGGCCATGTAGTATGCGTTTATGCGACCTGTTTAATGTGAGATAGGAATGCAAATATTTTTTGTGTTAGTGCAGACTTACTTCATCATCAAGGAGTTAAATATCAAAGTAATTGAAGCTATATCATTGAAGACTATATTAAACTGAAAGCTATATAAAGTGTGAATGCTGCATATAGCTATAATTATTGGTGCTAGCCTATATGACATGAATCTCATGTCAATCATAGTAAACTGTATATGTACTAGTATTTTTAATTTAAGAAAATTCTTGATGGTTTTGATAAGTTTGTGCCTAGTTCTTTCGTTGGGTATACCTAGACTTTATTGATACCTTAGTAGTGACACTTGAAACACTGGTTTCAGGTTACACAAGCTCAATAGCATAACCATAGCTATATAGTGTATTGATGATAAGCTATGTTTGACATACACCACTTGTGCTTTATTGCATTGGAAGAGAATTGTTAATTATGTCTAACACAGCCTGGAACCTCTGAGAATAGCTAGCATACTTGCTTTTGTGCAGAGCCATTTAACACCAAAGAAAATATCATAAATATCATGAATATTCATTTCCAAAAATTCATTTAATTGACTTGCTTACATTTCTTTTAAAGTTATTATGTCAGATGTATAAAACTTGTACAGTATATATTTTGCGTAATTATAAAACTGTTCTTAAGGCATTAAGTTATTGTGTGCGTTGGGTTTGTTTTGTTTGGCACAAGCTTCTAGATATTATCATCTATCAGCAATAATTCAATATAAAATAATAAATCAGCAAATTATAAATAGAAATAGCACAGGTGAAGATATATTTTTCACTAAGATTAATCCAGCATTCCAGGCAAGGACAATGTCATTCTTGAAAGGGAAAGCTTTGGTGTTTGAGGAGCTCTTTATTAGGCAAGCGAATTCTATAAGAAGGGATGCAATAAATGAATGTCCTCAATGAAAATATGTGAATTATTTTCATTTAGTTATACCTGAGATAGTTGGTCCTCTTTTCACAACGAATTGTTTACTTTTCCCAAATACATGTCCTTTAATTGCTACTTCCATAATTCAGGTTACAAAAGCATTTTACTGATATATATTCTTATATACAGAAATCCTCAAGTACTGCAAAAGAAACCTTTTAGGTTAAAATAATTAATATATATCAGACATGACTGTACGATACATTGGGGATTGATAGATTAAAATTGGTATGCATTAAACTGGATATTTATTACAAGAATCCTTTTGGCTCCCTGTTGGTTCCCATTTGTGTATGTAAGCATTCCTCGTCAAGCAACTGTCTTGTCAATTGTTTATTGAGATTCAACCCAACATTCTTTCCCGTCTGCAGAATGAATCACAGAAGATCATAAACACCATTATTATCTTAATTACAATCTGAACTAGTAATTATAACATATTACACACAAAGTAATGAGGTGATAGCTCAGTAGATATTTTCTGATGTTAGTTAAAGCCTACGGTCACAAATATTAATAAAAACAAGCAATTTAGGATAATCACAGTAGGTATTATATTGTTACACTTACACACACGTACACTTGGTTCATTCCTGTACTGGGATGCACAGACCTGCCAACCCCATCTGATGATCATCAGTAATAATTATTGGATTTTTCCGTAACAAATAGGCATTTGTCAGTAACACGTTTTTGTGCCACAAAATAGCCTTCAGTGCGGTACTACTATTCCTGGATCCGTGACGTCATTCAAAATGGCTGCTCCCATAAACCAGACAGACGAACGCATAACACAGCATAATTTACCATTTTCAGTGAGTACCGTTACGTTTTAAGAGCTATTAGTCTAAATCTACAGTCACAGTAGTCATGTTACATGATAATAGTTGATTTTACACTGTTTATTTCTTTTTTTTTGCATTAAAAAATATAAATTTCAGAGATTTCCTGCTGTCCGTAATTTTTCGAGGTCGTCCGTAACACCGTAATTTTGACTCGCGTCCGTAACAAATTACGGGCAATACGTAACAGTTGGCAGGTCTGGATGCATCTAGCTAATATTTTCATGTGCCATATGATATATTGGTAAGTATGTAGGCCCCACTTACCTCTAGCATCTCATATATGCTCTCTGGGTGTAGACTTCCACACGCAGATTTCTTCAACATGGTCACTGTACCTTCCTCTGTGACAGCCATCATGAGAGAGGCTAAAGAACACACTTCTTCCTCCAGGCTGGCATCTACTACATGACTGTGTCCAATCTGTGAGTGCAATACACATTTTCTTTTAGAACAGTGTGGCAGCTAACAAGTGAACATTTGCCAGAGAAAGAAATCTCAACTCAGGTCCTAGACGGACTTGCGGCCCCGGTCTTTGCGCGCAGATGCGCGGAATGTCAGGGTAGATGATGTTGTTCTGATGGCTGACCCTAACATTATTCGGGGACAATGGAAGCTTGGTCGAATCACTGACGTGTACACGGGAAAAGACAATCGAGTGCGAAACGTCCAAGTCAAATCTGCGAACAAGTTCTTCAGTAGACCTGTTAATAAGATAGTAGTCAGTCATGTCCTGTAGAAGGGTATGAGTAATTTGAACTGTAGAGTATTTATCAGTACTGTATGGGTAGAGATGCGAGAGTGACGTCGCATCGTGGGGGGAGGATGTTTCGAGCGAAAATAGGATCTCACACCGAGAGGTGGCACTGGTGCTGTTTTGAGGCACAAGCCGGGGAACAAGAATGCACTCGAAGCTAATGATTTGTTCCATTTGAGCGTTGTGCCATTGTGTTAACATGTTAGGTGAGTTGTATCGGTTTGATTCATGATAAGTTGTTCAATATGTAAACGTTGGTATTAGCATGTAATATGTTACTGTTTAACATGTAACGTTCAATGTGTAATCGTAAAAGTTTAGTGAATTACAGCATTTGTAATGCTGCTGTCGATAGACCACAGCCGCGTGTAAATGGCCTATACTAAGCCATTCAAGGTCAAGGCTTACCGTGAAGCACATTGCATGATTATAGCTGGCATTTGACTGTAATGTTATACTGCAAGTTGCAGTACTGTAGGGAGTTAGTGTGGAATTTAACCAGCTTATCTGGATTTAGTCAATGTTATGGGGAGGAATTGTAGTGTAGAAGAGTCAGGTAATGAGAATCTTGTGTTGTCTGGTTGCTGGTATTTATGATGCCAATGATTGTATTACAGGATTGATTACCTGCTGAACTGACCGTGTGACCGACCTTTGTGTGACAGTGCACCACATTGGTTTTAGCAGAAAATGTCAGTTACATCCGATCACAGTAGTAATAAGTCATAAGTCATATAGTCATATAGTCATAAGTTATATAAGTCATATAGTCATAAGTTGGTTATTGTATGTTTAACTGAGTAGATGCAGATACATATATCTTTGAAGATTATGCAATATACGAATGGGTGATTTGTGTTTCTGTTGAGTGTTGTTTAAAGAACATCAACCTAAACCTGTTTTGTTTATTCATTCTTCACAGAATTGAATGCTGATCACTAAAAGATCTCATACATTAAGACCTGGTATAACTGCGTTCTTGTTCGTCTTCATCGAGCCTCCCACAGAGGTTTTAACGAAGACGTGTACGGCGCTCCACGTGGGCTGGCGCGGTCTAGATGCTATCTCCAAAAGCGCCGCCGCCGTGGCGGCGCCTGGCTGCGTTTGTGCGAGGTTTTTATCAACCTCCTGACCCCGCGCTGCCCGTGGCGATGGCACGTCGTGCGAGCACGTGCTGGCGTGGCCGTGCCAGTATTTACACGTAGCTAATTCTACAATACGCCGCCACACTGACACACAAATATATATATATATGCACATGTTTTTATGAAGACGACGGAGCGCGACATTCCAGCCTCCCTCCTCCCCCGCGCTCACGTGGCGGCCGGGCACGGTCGAAATGCTATCTCCAACAAACGCTGGCTCGGGGAGTTTTTGAGCTGTGGGACGGCGCGAGCGGCTTATTATTTAAAGAACATAAAATAACAAGTTGTCACGCTTTTATCAGATGTGTTCTACATGTCAGTACATGTATTCGTATCTGAATTCATGCAATGAGTTTATGATAATCATAATGACAAGTCCACCGTAGCCGAGCCGGTGTACGTGTCCCGAAAACTGCACGATGTTACGCTGCCCGCTCGAGCCGTAATCGGCTGGCTAGCGTGGGCATTCTCGGTAGACTTCGCGGTGACTTTGGTAGTAAATAGATTTCGTATTTATTTAGCATTACATTTTATTGAAACGCTGCAAGTGCCTGTGTGCCTGGCTGCGGCAGCATTGATGCATGTATATAGATACCTTATTGACCCGTGGCGGCGGAGCGAGCGAGAGAGAGAGAGAGAGAGAGACAGACCGTGGGGAGTACGAGAAAGAGAGAAAGAGAATGGGAGAACGCCAGATAAGGGACGCAAACACGGCAGGTGACGGTACGACGGCGAGGATGTACAAACGCGTGTCAATCTATAATCGGAAAGGCCCCTCTCCAAAGCCGATGTAGCCGAGCCGATGTACGTGTCCCGAAAACTGCGCGATGTTACGCTGCCCGCTATACGCATTCGCGCGCACGCCTTCCCTCGGCGCGCGAGATGCTACATACAACACACCGCGGTCACGTGCGCCCAGTCCCGCGGAAGTGCGCGGCTTAACCGCTCTCGGCGGTCGGGGAATAACGCATCTTTTGCGCAATGCCATCTTGTACACGGTCTCTCTGGATGCTGCTCGGATGTTACAGAATCTTGGAGTTAACAAAATAATGAATACTACCTTCAGTGGTAGTCTGTTAGCTCCATTGTACATTTTTTGCAAACTACAATAACCTTAGCATCACAAATAATTATAGTAGCATCACAGCTGTTAATTATTAAGACATTTTTATCCTAGTTATTATAAAGGCCTATTTGTTGTTTATTAGACATATGCATAGATATTAATACAGAAAGCTTCACTGACCTTGCTAAGTGTGACATTGCATGGGGCATGTTTCACATTAATGCGTAGACTGTCATATGGATCATCAGATAGCTCCAGCTCAGGTTTACCACCATCACTACTTGTTACTTTCACAACTGGAACTCTGTGTGTAAAATATCAAAAGCACTACACACGTGCATGCTGATAATATCAACTGTATATTATACCAACATGTTCTGTCTGGTAATGGAAATGTCCGACTTGATACACACACAGTATACAACCAGTTTAAAATTTCTCCTACCGCTATACGTTAGCACCCAAGTTAAATTAATGTGTTGTAAACTTACTACATCACCTGTTTGTTATTAATATACACATACTTGGTACTTGAAAGGGCTGCTTTAACCGCAATAGACACTGCATCGTACAAACTCCCTCCACACTCTAGAATCTAAATGTAGAAGAAAATACTTCATCAGTATGCAATAGGTACATGGTACTACATGTTCATTGATGTTCATATCGTGCAATGTTAGTTACAAGGAATGATACTGGAGTATACATTTTAATATTGTATTATGTTGAAATTATGTCATAGCTGAAATTATTTATTTTACATTTAAAAACAGCATCAAGGTTAATCCTATGCAAGTAAACTTGTAGAAAGTTTCATCTTGGAGTATGACTGATACTTGCACTCTTGCAGTGGTGCCACCTACCAGAATGTCTATATAGAGAACCCAGCACTGCTCAGAAGGAACGACACAGAGAGCCTTCAACATGCTGCTGGAGCAGCGATCTGAGCTGTAGGCTCTCGCTAGGGTACTGCTGATGTCCCGGGCCAAATCCTCTCCACCTCGGCCCTCAAATGTTGGTGCTGCATTAGCAGAACTATGGGCAAACGTAGATAGTAGGCACAAATTACAACAATAATAGCAAAATTTGAAAAATTGCCATGTGCACAAAGTATCATATCATAAGTGCTACACAAGAAAAAGATTTTACCAGTCAACAAAGAATTCTAGTGTCCCGACATCTGGGTTATCAGTTGGAGGTGTAGTTAGATCAGCCTTAACACCAACGAGTACATCTGTTTGACTCTGTCAATATGAACGGAATATTACATTGTGTATCCTACAGTATCTAAACAGTTTCTATATGAAAGCGCTTTACCTTCACAATATTTATTGCGCATGTTTAATTATTACCAAAGTACAACATCTCGCATTTTATTTGTTAATGAGGTTTACTAAACTCCATAGTACATTAGTACACACAATAACTAAATTCATATCTAAATTATTAATTCTCATTTCCAGAGTACACTGGAGCTTACCAGTTTTAATCTTGCTGATCCATTTGCACTTGAAACTACATCCGTTTCCAATTCAATGTGTCTGTAATCATCACAGCTCCTACCATCAACCCGTAAGTTGTCCTTTAACAACAAATATTATTTGATCATAGTATACTTTACTGGTAAACAATTGCAGGGTTTATGATTTTAGTTCATTTTTGAAATCTTCAGTAAATTAAACGAGCGTTGTGCGAATTTGGCGCCGAGGATTTCCCACTTCCTCTATATTTCTGCTGTTTTTGCAGCGGCGTGCGTGTGGTAAAATTGCGTGTTGCAAAAAAGCATTTGAACGGCATTTACGTGGAATTATTAGTCGATAGCGAATACATCAACAAATTGAGACTTTAGTAGTGAAAACGTTTTGATTCACCACCATTTTATTGTTGAAACGTTCCAATTGCCTGTGAACGCGAGGAGATTAAAAATGTAAACCGATGAAGGCTTCGGTCTTCGTCTCACTCACTCTTTGAGTCTGTAATTAACCTCTTAACCTCATAAATGATAGTCTTCAAAAGTCCTGGGAACTTAGAGTAAGACGGAGAGAGAAGTGGATCAAATCGATAGATCCACACTGCGGATCGCAGTGGAAAATGTTGCAAACTTGCAATTTACCAAAGATGAAGGCAGGGAATTCCAATACGGAATCACAGTAACAAAGAAGCTAAACTTAAAAATAAAAGGATCCTAGGCTTATTGCCACAGTGCCATTAGTGGCATTAGTGCTATCTTACTCTTACTCTTACTCTTAGTCTTAGAACCACTGGCAGCATGTTATATATAGACAATGGCCGTGTGTGTGCTGTAGCTGCAGCGGAATGGTTCTTGCTGTCAGTCTCAGTGCTTAGAACTTGGAAGATTGCACGTGCCGAAAACAGTGTGACTCAGACTTAGACAATACCAAGTCCTAATTAATGATTACCTGCACGCCATGTATTATGAACATTTTCTCTGCCTCACTAAGAAGTAAATCGGTCATTTATATGTATATATATAATATCAAATTACGAGGAAAACAGTAATAATTTCACTGCGTTTAAAATACAGACAACAGTAACACGTTTTCTCTTTGATTTGTTTATGAGACGAATGCGCCATCTGTTGTGACCAAAACAAATACATGTATAATCGCTTCTTCGATTTCAGGTGCGAAATATCTTAAAAGACAAGTTATAGGCTATAAATAACTTAGATATTAAGAGCGCTTTTAAATATTATAATATGTAAATATACAATAGCAAATTTGCATGACAAAGTACACAAGGAAGTCAAAAAATACATCAAACAAGTGAACACATAGTGGCTCTGTCTGCGAAAAATGGCAGAGCAAACACAGCAACAGCAAGTCTTATCGCCGTCTACACATTCTATTACGACGACTTCAGTTGAATTTATACAGCATATAAACGTAGAAAACGCAAAGTTTTTGGCATTGGTCGTATTGCTTTGTATAGTAAGCTATCATGGGGCTTTACACTTCGTATACGGTAAGTCACCAATCATTTATGGATGGTAGGCCCTACTTAGTAGTAATACTAATACTAATACTAATACTAATAGTATTACTATTAGTAATAGTATAATAGTACTCATCGGTAGCATGTCATGTGTCCGGCAGTGTCGCGAGGACCGGGCCCTAGTACTAGTCTAGAAGACAATCAAGACATGTCCCACAATACTTCGTGTCTACAAAACTCACAAACTTGTCGTGTTACAATACTTCGTGTCTTCGTGTCTATGTTGTATCCGGAACTTTCGTGGGAAAAATAATTTCGCCCCCCGGACCCCCCTACTCCATAGTAACTAGTTTCCCATCCCCTTCCCCCTCCCCCTGTTTCAATTTCATCCTGGGGAGAACCCTGATTCATTAGCTCAGCTGACGAAATCGGATGCAGCTTGTAGAATCGCATGATTGTCCGTCCGTCCGTCAACAGTTGGGCACAAGTCTTAACCGCTCGATGTACGGTCTTGATATTCGGGACGTCGGGGGGGGGATCGCGAAAAGGACTCGGGGTATCGAATTTGGGGGGTCAAGGGTCAAAGGTCAAGATGTGTCAATGGAGGGGGAATATTTTCCCCTTAACTTAAGGTATAGGAGGAAATACGGAATTGCGGCACAAATCTCAACGGCTTGATCTACGCTCTTAATATTTGATGTTTAGTGTGATGGGGAGGAAACCCATCACCAGCGCAAAATTGGAGGTCACAGGTCAAAGGGCAGTGGGGGAAAGGCATGGTTTGTATATATATACAGTTTACATTGCTTCTAGATATCTAACTGAATAAAAATAGTCCACTTTCTACGGAAAGAAAAGTAACGAATTCAGTCACGATAACCCCTGCGACATAGGAACTTATTGTTATGCGTTACGCATAAAAACACTGGGTTACGCTACATGCGGCAGGCCGCAATCAATTTCTTAGACGGTCGCGAGTTTTTGTTCGTATGGCGAATCATGAGTTGAGGACTACTTGGATACTTTTTGGATACCCCGTCAGAAACGGAGCGCATTAGAATACGCTCCCGTTTACAAGTCTGTCTAAACGCCGTTGCGATAACCGTAGTATTTCAGAATAATATGAGGGGGAAAAGTGCCGGTCAGGAGGACCGGCAGTTTCGTAGAGATGGTGGCCGAAGCAAAAACTTGGTGGCCTCGGGCCTCCGGGTCGGCACCAATTTCGAATGCTGGCCAAACCTGACATTAGCACATCGAAGACATCGTGTAAAATAATCCATTCAATCCTTTGCAAAATTCCGTAACAGCGAATTTGCAATTTCGTTTTCCGACATGTAGTCATAATTTGAAAATTACATGTAGGCCAATTTATATAACCCTCCCTACTAGGGCCCCAATTAAAAAAATCTTTGTTTGCTCTCACCCGACCCAGGCTGAAAAGTTTGGGTAGGTAGGTCAGCTTTATTTGAGGGCGGGGGTCTTTTTACAAATTCAGCATGGTGTCTACATGTATGCTCGGGTGTGCTTGTGTGGAGATACCTTTTATGTTGAATGTTTGTTTTGCTTGGTACATATAATGTATTGCAGATAACAGATTTATATAATGTACAGTGAAACAATTTGTTTAAAAAAAAGAAGATCAATAAAAAATTTGGAGTCGGCCCCTTTTTGGTGGATCGGCCAAGGTGCGGGCAAACAAACAATATTTTTATTATGGCTTAAGTATATTCTTGCTGCACTGTTTTAGGTGGGTAAGCTTGACTGGGCACCCTATGACCTGCCTACCAAACCGTATAAATATGTTCCTAACCACACTCAACACTATTTAAAAGGTTGTTACATGAAGCAGGTGGATATGCATAGCTTCGGGGGATGCCTTAGTCACATAATGATGGTAGTGAGGCTGGGGTGTTTTTTAGAATGATAATACAGATAGGGTGGCATGGCAGGTTGGATATGTAGGCTGTCGTATCCTTTTTAGATGTTGTATACAAACATGACAAATGAAATTTGTTGAAAAAAATCAGTTGCTAAAAACTAACCCCTGTTTAGAGTACTTGAGAATTGCTGAATCATTCTGTGATGCATGTGTAGAGATTTTGGAAATATTTTGTGAAATTTTGTAGGTATCATAACTGTATTTGTCCTACAAAATAGTTGGGCTGGCCAAAAAGTAAATGACAAAATGTAATTATAATTTTAAATGAATGTGTATTTACAGTATTATAACTTATAAGTAATAAATAATGTGAATAAAGTAATAATACATTTTTACTTGGCACAATAGCATTTTTTTACATGTGTCTATTGGATTATTGTAAATTTTTTTGCATAGATACTATAGCGACGTTACTATAGGTTGCTTATTTGAATGTTTCTTATATAATTTGATTAGTGATAAAATCCTGTGTATAATGTATTGAGCCGTTTGTTTTGCCTTTAGGAAGTGATTCTTGCACATGGCTACTCAGTGATGGCCGATTCCAAGGACCCCATGTGTGGCAGCCATATGGCTGTATGCTGCATTCGTATGATAAGAGGTTAGTCTCTGCATTGTGACTGCTATTGTTGACTACTGATAACAGTTTTGTAAAATTCTGAAGGGGGAACAGGGTAAATACGTGATATTCAACCCCACTATTCTTTTCTTTCTAATCTTCTTCAGAGTTTATATGATGATTTGAACTTTTCTGCATTGCAAACGCATTTATAGATCACACGTGTTTTTAGCTCATCTGACGTAGTCAGATGCAGCTTGTAGAATCGCATGATCGTCCATGCGTCCGTCCGGCCATCCGTGCGTCCGTCAACAGTTGGGCACAAATCTTAACCGCTCGACGTACGGTCACGATATTAGGGCTGTTGGGGGGGGGGGATTATGAAAATGACTCAGGATGACAAATTTGGGGGTCAAGGGTCAAAGGTCAAGATGTGTAAACGAAGGGGGAATTTACTTAAGGTATAGGAGGAAATACCATAATTGCGGCACAAATCTTAACGGCTCGACCTATGCTCTTAATATTTGGTGTATAATGTGATGGGCAGGAAACCCATCACCAGTGCGAAATTGGAGGTCACAGGTCAAAGGGCAGTAGGGGAAAGGTCAGATATCAGACATTTTCTGAGGACATGGGCTAATGGACAGAGTAAAAAACTTTTGTTTCAGCACTGACCTACCATTTTTATCACTGTATTGAAAGGACCATGAAATGTGCTTTCCACTGACGTGCAAAGAGTAAGTGTCTGATAATCTTTTGACCCTCAAGAGGAGGGTTAAACATGGATTTCTCAACTGCCTCAATGACGTGACAGTGTTGTCATATTCATGGCACATCCATAATCTAGAAACCCAATAAGCCTGGATAGCCGAACGGGTACAGCACAGGCGTCACGGCTCAAAGGTCGTTGGATCGAATCTCATCTGATATTTTATTATTTACCTGTTTTCTGTATTTTTCTATCTTTATCCATTTAACTATTTTTTTCCAGTTAACGCAAATATTTACATGATTTATTTACAACAATTTAATAACAACAAAAAACAATGCACCATAAAACAGGAGTCTCAGGCACGCGATTTGTATCAATCAATGGGATTTGGGAGGTATGCAGAATGCAGAAGGTTGCTGAAATGATGTGTACGCAACTGCGTATCTGCATATCTGCGCCTAAAAAAGGTGTCACTACGCACGACTTAAATGTTACGCTTATAACCGTAGCAACAGACCTCAGATGAGCCCAGATGCTCTGCGGCTCTTGTTTTATGATTAAATTGCTGCATTATACTTCCTATTTTGCTTTTCCGTTTGATGTGAACAACCACTCGTCAATCATACATAGCCCATAGCAAGCATTTAATGTCGTGATCAATATCTCAAATCGCCCAGGTTTTTAGGATTTTTAACTAGTTGAGAAACGATCTTATCGGGTAAGAATTTGAGGCTACATTGTAGTCCCGTTAGTACTTACTTATAATTTTAAAAAATTGGGACAAACATTTTACAAATATATACACCATAGAAAATCTTGGTGTCATTTTCTGCTGAAAGATGAACAACAACAAACAAATTTTGAAATTGTTGCAGTACAACTCTGATTCAGTGACTTATACCAAATGTATTTTCCTATAGCAAGACGTTTTAATTGAACCTCTTCACATATCTCTTCACACTACAAGTGCACACAATGTTACTCACAAAACTACGGGATATGTGATAACAGAGACCTTTGTCACGCCAACAGAATGTATATGGTTGGAGTGGAGTATTACTATTAGTCTGTCACATCGTTTGTTCTGTATGTAAATTGTCTGTCGCATGCTGTAATCAATATTGGCATAACATTAACAAACGAAGCATACTTTCTCAATTTTAAAAATATGCACCTGCTATGATCGCTGTTCATTTATACATGTTTGATGTGCCGTAAAAAAGATTTAATTTTTATTAATATTATACTGATTTTGAATTGTCTCTTTCCTGTTGTTCTGACTGTAGATTTTATATTGTAGTGTTGATAGCAGTTAGGAAGACAGTACTATTGTTGAATTAACTCATCACTGAAATCAATTAACAAATTATGTAATAATTAACAGATTATAACTATGCTCAGGAGTAACATAAATAAACAGATATTTCTGTCGGCTACATTACTTTCATCAGTGTTATGTTACTCTTGGTATGGTGATATGTTATTGTGCTGTAAATGATGTTCCCCAACCCTGTAGCAGTAAATGCATCTGCTTCTGTGTACCCAGTCGGTCATTGATAAGTGATAAGTACTGTGGATGATTTGTCTCCAACATTATTGTGGCAGGTTCAGCCACATTATTCTAGGTAACTATGGCATCTGCTCATTCGCATCTAGCGAGTCTTTAATTATTTATGATCGCCAAACATGGCACCTGCCCTGCAGCGAGATGCATAGATGTACAGCGTCGTGTTGTTAACCGGTATTAATTTTGCCTTGTATTGTGATGGTGAAAACAATCAATGAATGACAGCCGATGCTGAGGCTACCCTCGTGAGATGAAAATATCGAACAGTTGCCTTTATTATGTCCCCCTATGTGATCCGTTTACTGTACAATAATGCATAAAGAACAACAATGCTCTATAGTTTTAATTTTTAATATGTAACTAGTTGTCTCAAATTACTTAACAATAGTTCCATGATCAAACCAAATTTTTAGTGATGGCAATATATTAATTGTCACCAATAAAATTGTTTGTGGCACTATATCAATCGTGCCGTAGTGTAATTATAAATGTTGCTGTTTCAAAATACACATCTGCTAAAATATATCTCTTGATCAAACATCAACCTTATATAGGAATAAATTATAAATTTTATTATAGGAATAAATTATAAATTGTAACCAGATTCAGATTCAGATTTATTTTGCACTTTTTATTCTATTGTACAGATCAGTTAAGATAGAAGTAAAAAGAGAAGGAAATGCATAATATTATAGAATCGATAGGTTTAATGTGAATGTGCGTAGTGGTCAAAGTAGCCATAAGCTTTCGAGTTGACCACTACCACAGGTAATAAAATGTCTGAGGGAAAAGTACAATTAAACCAAATATAGGAAATAAGGGGAAAAATTAACATACATACATATATGGAACAGTAGAACAAAAAATACAATTGATATAATAAGTAATAAGTAACAACAAATTATTCCGCCCCAATAATTTGATCTAGTCATGATGCATACTTCTATAAAGCGTTTGGTCAATTCCACATTAAAGTACAATTTTTGCTCAAGTTGTAATTATAACTATAACTTATAAGCCAATGTTTTATGTTAGTTAGATAGACTAGTGTTTGAAATCAGTATAATTTTTATTATATAATCTATATTTTGTAGAAGCTTGATTGTACTCTTAGAGTCATTTTTCTAAATGTTCACAGTAAATTTAGTTTAAAATGCTAAGATATTTTTCCCCAGTTAATATATATATGTTTAGATATAATTTCTTGGCTTTTATACATACTGTGAATGCTTGAGTCACTATGCATGTAGTCATTTTGTGCCCAAAAGGCATAAAAACTGTGCAGTTGCAGGGAAATAACTACCAATATTTGCTTTTGTGCCGCCTGTCACAAGACCATCAAAAAGTTAGTTTGCAGCCATTAAATGAAAGCCATTAAAAAGAAATTTCCTTTGCTATCTTTTCCATGTCCAGTTAAAATCATAACACACAGCGTTAAAATATCTGGATATCTTCTGTAGCCAACAGGTGAGTGCAAAGTCTGTCTTGCCTGTCAAATTCACTCATCCTTAGTATCACCTTCTTTTTTAAGTATGTGCGTCAATAAATTAATTTATCTACAAATTTTTTTATTTATTTGGGTCTAAACAGCTTTTATTGTATCCCCCGCGACGAAGTCGGCGGGGATACTATGGTTTCATGTCTCCCCAGCCGCCGCCGCTCGGTCCGCCGCAGAGAATTTCCTTTCCGCTCTATAACTCGACCCCTAATTGACATAGCGTGACCGAACTTGGTGTACTTACACATCTTGGGGAGAAGGTGTGCAGAGTACCAAAACCAGGTCACTGCGATCTTTATTTTACCTTTACCTTGACCTTGATCATATTTCCCTTCCACTCTCTAACTCGGCCCCTAATTCAGTAATTGACCTAGCGCTACCAAACTTGGTATACTTACACATCTTGGGGAGAAGGTGAGCAGCGTACCAAAACCAGGTCACTGCGACCTTTATTTGACCTTTACTTTGACCTTGATTATATTTCCTTTCCGCTCTCTAACTCGGCCCCTAATTGACCTAGCGCTACGAAAACCAGGTAACTACGACCTTTATTTGACCTTTACCTTGACCTTGATCATATTTCCCTTCCGCTCTATAACTCGGCCCCTAATTGACCTAGCGCTACCAAACTTGGTATACTTACTGTTAGAAATCTTGGGGGAGAATGTGTGTCGCATACCAAAACAAGGTCACTGCGGCTTTTATTTGACCTTGACCTTGATCATATTTTTCTTCCGCTCAATAACTCGGCCCCTAATTGACCTAGCGTGACCAAACTTCGTATACTTACACATCTTGGGGAGAACACAGGGTATACATGTAGTTGGTGACAACTGCCCTTTCTAGTTTATTATAAAAAAATTGTGCAAATCATGACATATATCACAAGAATATTAGACTTACTGGAAGCAATACCACATTTTCCACACAAGTCAACACACGAGTTTTGTAAACTTATAGGGTGTAATGATGATGATGAGCTGTGTATGATGCAATCTTCATGTGATGTATGTAGTATTCTAAACAAAATTGATACTAGAAAACTTGGATGAGGAAGATTTAAATGCTGGAATTATGTACAAGCAGTGGGTAAAGAATGAAAATGACAAGCTGTTCTCTTGTAGATAAGGTAGAAAATATGTTGGGGGTTCTGCGTGGAAAACGTAGCATTTTTATGTCATGTTCATATTAAACAAGTACAGGCTAAACATTTTGAAGACCTGAGAGTAAACTTGCCAGGTTGCAAGTTGCCAGGTACATTATTGATACAGTGTGAGTTCAGTGAAAATTACAAACTTGTTATGGATAATTGTTTGCACTTGAATTGATAGCACGAATCTCCTGACCTTGCTAATCAATTATCAATAACATTCAAATGGCAAATTCAGGATGAAAATTACCGGTATTTAACCAGATACAGTATGACTATACTCACATCTTACGGCAATTTACAATGATTACAAAATATCTACTACTAATCTGCAGAGCACAAGCAAATTGACCACAGTTTTGAAGGTGTTTCCCGCATTTCTGCCATGGTCTGGCTGCCATAATCATGTTGCAGATTCTTTCAAACAGGTAGAGGTAATAGCAATGCCATCTACAAATGAAATAATGACTATGTTTCTCGTCAGTTTCCAATTTAAACAGGCCTGAGCCAACCCTGTTCTGACCTTTCAATCCAAAAACCAGTCCTCAAAGTTCCAAACACGCAAGTTATATATTATGTACTTTTATTTTCAGAGATGCGAGATACTGCATGCGGTATATCAACTACTGGGGAGGGCAGACACACATACTGTTTGTTGGTGGGTATTGGATTAAATATTATTTTTGCATATAAAACTTGTGATAAAAATTACCCTGCAAAGTGGAAAAACTGAAAACTGGCTATACCGGCGGCAGCGGCGATTTTCACGAAAAATTGTCGTTAACCAACAAATTAGGTTTTTTCTGCTTCTATCACTCTGCATAGGGATCCATTTATGGAGTTGACTATTATGTAGGTTAAACAAATTGTTATGCTTGTGGTGTTTTGTTATATTCTGTTATTGTGGGGGGGAGGTATTCAGTCACGAAAGTCAGTCAGAAAGACAATACAGAAAAAAAAAAATACAGCGCAGTGCGGGCACATTAGAGACTTGGAAGGCGTAGTAGCCACGTAACTCGAGCGTAGTACGAACTTAATGATCGTATCGCAAGCGTGTCGGGTGCGTGAAAATTGTCTCCCCGTTCTCAGCACGATGTCAATACGTTTTCATCACGCTGTTACTACGTCCGAGCGTGATTAAGTCGCACTAGGAGCGTGACTGGCGCGCACTTGAGGCGCGGTGAGCGTTAATGCTAATTAGGCGCAGTGAAAGCATCGTTTGAACGCAATGCGATCGGATTGGTCGCAATAAAGACGCAGTGGGCGCAGTGCAAGCGTGATGCAGGCGTGGTATGGAGCGTGGTGAAAGCTTGTTGGGTGCAATGAGATCGGGGTAAAAAAAAGACGCACTAAGATTAGACTACGCTTAAGATAGTAGTATCGGCACTGTGGGCGGCCAAGTTTGGCCACGCTCTCACCACGCTCGGCCAAATTTGTTGAGCGTGGGGCGATCGTGATGAGCGTAGCTCTAGTGTGACAGGGGCTTTAATATTCAGATAAAAAAGAATTGCTCGTTATACTTGTAGACGTAAAAGTGGTAGAACAAATAATGACCTGGGTAAAAAACGATGGACGTTAAACGGATAGACGGTGATAGGTATATTGATCATTGAAATTAAATAGCTTTTTATGAACTTGTGTAGATAGATATAGATTATATTATATATTTATACTTTAATTGTTTATCCAAACCTAATTCAATGACTATCATACTTTTGGATTTGCAGTGTATTCCTCAATGTGGATTTTGAACACAGAACTGATTTGCTCCAATAGTGGGAGCGTATAGAGGCGTAGAGCGTATGCTTTATCCGTGTCCAATATCTAATTCATACGAAATGTTCATAATGAAATTTCCCAGTACGCATATCTTTGTCTCTCATGACATGCCCCACATATTTTTTTGCGCTTACGAGGGGAAAATCTCTCATCAGTCATCCGCGCTTACAATATGTTGGCCTCAGCACTGTTGCTGACACAGGTCAATCAAGCATCTAAGCTGTTTCATACTGTCATTATAGTTTCACTGTAAATGTGATATAATATACTTGTATAATATAATATAATATAATATAATATAATATAAATTGAATGAAGTAATGATAATGTAAATCATATTGTAATGTAATGTATGATGTAAATGTAATGTAGTTAAGCAGTACATGTAATCGTAATTAATGTAATGTAATGTATATGTAAGTAATGTAATTAAGTATTATGTAATTATTAATGTAATTATAATATAATTATCTTAAAGGGAGAGTTTAACTCTGGGTCTAGGGTATTTTCAGCTAATTTAGGTTATACATTACGCTTACATACAAAAGTTTCATGGTTCAATCACCATTAGAAATATTTTTTTTAACATGTTTTAAAACTAAACGACTACAGTTTTGATTACACACGACGGTGGCGCCACTCAATGCGCACGATCTGATAAGTTGCGCAAACCACTTTCCAGCCAAGGGCTACAGACCGAGGTGGTTTCTTATTTATTTATTTAAAAGCAAAAGGATTGTAATATCTTATAAACGACATATAGTTTCAGTTATAATATGGATAAATTTGCCCTAAAAGGAATATCGTTCGGTTAAATAGCATTGCATATAGGTATAAATATAATTGCACTTTTGTGATTAGCCAATGTCAATTAGAATTGTCAAATACGCAACTTTTTTGGGGTGCAGCACGGGCGTCTATGCGTCGTCAAATGTTCGTGTAGCGTTGATGTGTAATTATAACAATTAAATTAGGTATCTGGTAACAAATACGTGTGGGTATAGACGATTTGTTATACAGTAAGTACAGTTGTATGCAGTAAAATCCTAGAATCTAACATAATATAATATAATGAAGAACACATAAACCCTGGTCTCGTTGATGTAATTGTGGTATTATAAATCTTTACTTATAAGTCCTATATTCCTCTTGCGTTTCTAGACAAAGGGTGTACGTGAAACATATTCTTAGTTTTAATTTGCTTAGAACTGCGGTCTCCAAAAAGGTTAAGAACCGCAGCATGGCCTTAAACGTACAGCGCGCGTGCAGGTGAACGCTGCATGTAGCGTCAGCCCGCGTAAAATTGTTTACCGACTGCATGAGCTGAAATAAAACTGCAAGAGGCGACAGCTGGAACGAAACGTCGAACAAAGAGAATCACTCGTGGATCGAGATTTTACACCGAATGGCTCTCGACCGCATATCGCCGTACGACGCGCGTCTAGAAATGAGAAGGCATTATCTTCACGATCTGTCAACTTATGCAATGTTTATCGTAAGGCAGCGTGACAGCTTTTTATGAAACGTGCATCGCTGCATGTATGTGTGCAATCGCCTGATCGCCATCGGTAACAGTAAACTAAAACGCGTTGATCGCTAAACTCAGCGCCATGCAGCCTATGTACGTATATCATGCGAACGAGGGCTCTTTGTTTCGGGTTCACGCGGGGCCTTCACACCATGGCCTCGATCTCACTACGCTCGTACTACGCTCTAAGAGTATGAACGTATATGGACGTACTGCGATCGCTATCGAGCGCGGTGCAGTGACCATGAGCGTGGAGAGCGTGGCCAAATTTTGAGCATGTTCAAAACAATCGTGGTGCGGGCGTGACGGAAAGACAGCGCAGTGCGGGCGCATTAGAGATGTAGAAGGCGTAGTACCCACGTAACTCGAGCGTAGTACGAACTTAATGATCGTATCGCAAGCGTGTCGGGTGCGTGAAAGTTGTTGCCCCGTTCTCAGCACGATGTCAATACGTTTTCATCACGCTGTTACTACGTCCATGGTGATGTCTCTGCGACCTGACCACGCTCTCGCTATGACCATGGTGCATCTCTAGCAAGCTCGACCCGTTCTTACTACGATTGTACTACGCCCAACATGCTCAGACCACGCCGTTGTGGCGTTCGCATTACGTGTTAGTTACGCTCAGATCACGTCCTGCGAACTTGGGGTATAAATTGGGGTGCTACCTTGGCCACCTCACCAGTTTAGTGTCCACTATGGATGAGGCAACACTACTCCATGCCATGTTTCTCGTAGAAGGACAACTCGAATTACTTGATTGCCAAGCCCTCTGATTCCAGGGCAACACTTGATGGAGATGACGGACTCTTGCACCTCTTTGGATTCTTTGCTTGGATTTCCTCCTTCCACGGCCTCTCCCCTTGTCTTTTGGCAGCATAGTTGTGTCAGTAGAAAATAATCATGATGTAATCTTGACAGCACGGCAGAATGAATGTCTAGAACGCGGCGCGGTATTTATATGGTTGTTGCCAGCGCAGTCGGCGCCTGACTAGAGCGTGATTGGCGCGCAGTTGAGGCGCGGTCAGCGTTGCTTAGGCGCAGTGCAAGCGTCGTTTGAACGCAATGCGATCTGTTTGGTCGCAATAAAGACGCAGTGAGCGCAGTGCAAGCGTGATTCGGGCGTGGTGTTGAGCGTGGTGAAAGCTTGTTGAGCGCAATGAGATCGGGGTAAAGACGCACTTAGATGGTAGTATCGACGTAATTAGATCGTAGTATCAGCGCTGGGCCCGGCTGGGGCCCAATTGGCCACACTCTCAACCACGCTCACCACGCTCGGGCAAATTTTTTGAGCGTGGGGCGATCGTGATGAGCGTAGCTCTAGTGTGAAGGGGCCATGTCATCCAAGGCAATGTGAGCTATGTTTTAATACTGCAGCTATGGCCTAGAGACCTGTCTAAACGAGGTTGTGGCAATTTAAACATGAGACGTTTCTCTAAGCTCTCTCTAAGAAAGGATCTGCATGAGTCCTCTTAATGTGATGAGCAGTGTGTACTCATGAAACTGTAACTATCGTTAACTGTTGCAGGAGACTCTCGGATAAGGCAGCTCTATGAGCAGCTGGTTCATCACATCAGCCTCCAGGAGATCCCCACTGGTGCCAAGCATTCCGACATGCAGTTTATTGATAACGAACTCAACCTGAAAGTCGTATGTTCTAACTTCTAATTCTTCCTGCAGGCTTCCCAGCTTGCGTCACTCAGGGTTCGAATTTCACCATCGGCACTTGCCATAGTTGACCTTCTTGCTTGCCTTAATATCTTAAAACTTGGCCAAAGTCCATGACAGTGTGTACATGCACCTTTCAGTTCTACAGAAAAAGTGTTGATTGATAAAAAAATAAGTTGTCTCGGTGCCCCTCATTTGAAGTAAATGTGTCCTATGTTGCCCTCCCTCCCCCAACCTGCCATTGTGTCATAGGATTTCTGATTAAATCAAGGCCAAACCTGATCTGGGCATGCTGTATGAGTTTAACTGGTTGTTAAGTGCAGGGGAGAATGGTAGACTCTGAACAGGCACAAATAAAAGTAAAAATAAAAAGTAATTTGCTGATCATTTTAGACCTGCAACATTGATTATTGATTGGCTTAAATATTCACTGGACTCAGAGAAAATGATTTCCTGTGGGAAATCTGTATGCCTCATGAAAGTTGTGTGGCATGTTATATCTTAATTATTGTAATATTCAGGTTAAACAAATGTAATTTTCCTTCATCTCGCAATCTATATCATTGTTTACATGATCTGTAAGGATTGTTGTGTTTTGATGTCAGTATTGCACACTTGTTAATTATAGGAGTTCAAGTGGATGCCAGTAGCTAATGCCAGCATGTACGAGCTGTTCAAGTCGTACCTGAACCGTGATAAACCCAACGTGCTCTTTGTTGGCAGTGCAACTGTAAGTCTAATTACAGCCTGGGGACGACTCTGCAAATCATGCCCTGAAGTTTGGCATCAACTTAGCTGATGACATGCATGACGAGTTTAAGGTTAATGCACATGTGATTCGACGCTTTGCTGTATACTATTTCAAAACGTGTGATTTCCTTGCCAATTGATCTATACGTCTGCTGTGATTGACTGGCAGTTCGAGCCAAACAGTGTTGTGATAGTATATTCTAAAGGCAATGCTTGGTAACAACAGCCACCAAGCCGACATTCTGGGTTAGCATAACCAAACCTAGCAACCGTATCCTGTTGTAGGGCGTGGATATCTTGCTCATGTAGATAGGACAATTAATTGAATGATGGGGTAATGTATGGGTAATGACACAGTTACAGTAGCACTAGTATCTGGTTTGATGGTATGGTCCTGAATCTGAATATTTTGTAGTGGACTATCAAGGCAGACAATGCCAGTAAGGAAGCACTTGAAGAGTACAGGGAAGTGCTGACAAATGTCGCACCCATATTTGAGCAGCTCAAGCCTTACATGAAGATCCTATGGATTTTACAAGGTATTTAGTGGTGACCTTTTCGCTGGTCTCAGTATCAAAAGCCACTATACAGTTTGACTTGCCTTACTATGCCTATATGTGCTATGTGTCTATTAGTGCAATAGTTTGCCATCGGCATCCTTGGCTGCATCAGTGGTTCGCATCAGCATAACTGGACGCATCAGTGGTTGCTATTGGAATCCCTGGTTACATCACTGGTTCGATCGGCATTCCATGCTTGTGCTGCTACGGCCCGTTTTTGGAAACATCAAAAATAGCTCTGACATCAGTATAAAATGTCATAATTTAAAAATATGAGTTTTTAATTTAATAAAAAATTAAATATTAATTTGAAATTAAGTTTGATATGCTTTGTTTAGACCCAGTTCTTCAGGATAAGCTTTCTCCAGAAAGGCAGATGATTACTAACGACCAACTGGATCTATACAACAAAGCTGCCATGGAAGTGCTGTAAGTATGCAACCCAATCACTGAGCTCTAAATCGTAAATGTGTTTTAATGTTAGCAGATATCTTACATATTAAAATGATGAATTTCAAATAAATAACTACCAGCACATATTACAGACATTATTTGTTAAAGAAAGTTGATGATGTCACAACTTCTCTCACCAGTAACGTTGTATAACAAATATTTTGCCACAAATTCGCATTAATTATAACAGCATGTTGGTGGGCCAGCAGAGTGTGCACATTGTAGCTTTGCTTTGCATAAACTCATTAATCATCCGTAAAACTGCTCCTTGCATGCTATTATACATATCACAGATAGAGCTTGGTTAAAAGTAGAAGTCATTGTTCAATACTTGTAGTTTAACTTACGTAGCTGTGGTCACTGTTGGAGGTATGTGCATGTATACAACACGTGTTTTTAGTGCAGTGCCAAACATACTGAATTTGCTACATTACTATTTTACCTTACTATTATAGTTGTTCATTTTCAGTGTATGGTTATAAGATAATTATCCCTACAAATAGTGTTCAATTGCTGTGTGTACTAGTTCATTGCAGTGCAGCACTATGCAGTATAATTGTGCAATGTTTAATTTATGTTGTGTTTCTGTGGTGGTTTAATCCATCTATTGCACATCTCTCCAATGTGGTTCAGAGCCAGCAACGATTGCTTGTTGAGAGTGTGGCTAATACCTGCTTCGTGGTTCTTATTCCAATCTCTCTTGAAAATGTTCCCTTTCTGCTGTTTTTTTTAAATTTTCCTCTGCATGTTTAGCTTACTGTTCCCGTCATTTTTGTCAGTTTCATAATCCGTAATCAAGATTTGTTAGTGCATTATTGTACAGTTGCTTGCTGAGAATGTAGCCAATAACAATGTCATCGTCCTTATAACAACTGGCTGTAAACTTCCTGCTTATATTATTTTGCTCCATGTAATTATTTAGCAGTCCCAGCATCCCTTAGGATTACGTGTTTTACATGTTAATTGCTTTATGTTAGTAATGTTGAAATAGATTCAGATTGTTTTGTGCAGGTTGGTCATCACATGAGCGGTAAGTTGTATTATATGTGCACACACAGGGTTAAGTGAACATGTTGTTACAGGGATGACAGCTGTATCATATGGAAGTCCTCCCGGCTTGTTGCTCAGGGTTACAATGGCGATTCTGTGGACGGCCTCCACGTTGGTGCAATTGCTCTCAACTACGTAAGATACATACGATCTCTGTCTGTTACACTACTTAGAAGTTAGGCTATGATTACTGCTAACTGGTGTAGTTGTAGTACACCACATGAAGGTCTATCATCACTTGTCTATGAGGGCTAGATTGCTGCTCACCAAAAAACTGGCCAGTGGTAAACGATCTGCATCGACTGGGACTTAGAATTGGTAAATGTTTACACCAGATCACTAGTTATTTTACCACATTATGTCATTACTCACACATTAAAAAATTTACCAGACCAGTTTTTCGTAATCAGACCAAGTATGGATTCTGCCTGAATTAATGTAGTGGAATATGTGAAATATTTATTCTTCTATGAGGTGGAACTGTATTCGGCCATAACTGTTCTCAATTTTCAGTTCACTTGCTTTCCTGTTTGTCACCAACGTCTGTTTGGGTTCAAGTTCCAGCATTCCACCTAGTTGTAAATTAGTGGTTGTATCAGCAGTGCCATGGAATTAGTCTTGTTCCCTATTACATAAACAATTGCAGATGTCCCTGATATTTACGTCTGAACTGTAAAGATCTGACCACTGATGTAGAAGTTTACTGCTAGTACTCTGCAATCATTGCGCAACACAACATGCTACATGTGTTACATGTTCTATTCTTGCTTTGACACAATTTTTTAAATTTATGTGTGAAAGCACATTTGTTTGAGTAATTCGGCTTCTGTGATTTGCTGGCTTTCATGTGGCTTGTTTTATGGCTGTTCTCTATGCTGCTTATTTGCAACAATTCTATATCTTCACTGTTTAGGCTTACATTTTAAGGTATAGGAGATGAAAATGAATAACGCATTGTGATGTGTGAATTGCACCGTAGTTGAACTTCTTGAAACGCCATATTATTTTATCCTTAATTCAAAATAGAGGGTGCCAGTGCTGTTAGATGCTGTGTTCGTCTGCTCATGTCTGTCTATGTTTATGTGTATTTGCAGGATGTACAGATTCTCCTGAACATGCACTGCAATGATCACATGAACTTCAATGATGGCACGTGCTGTGCCAGCAGAGAGCCAATCACAACGTTGCAACTGGCAACTGCCATTGTCTTTGCAGTATGGTGAGTTCTTATCTCATGACAGGGTATTTATTTATTTATTTATTTACTTACTCATGCAATCAATGTCAGTGATAAAACTATCCTAGTAGATGACTGTGAAATATTGCCAAGGGGTGCGCTTGCTACTGCCTATACTATAAAGTGAATGCATGGATGTTTGTTCAACTTGTTTGGCTATCGCTGTCACTGTGCAAAACTGCACAGTTGAATTAAATCAGTAGCGTCTTTCTTTATAGCTACTCTGAAGTAATTTACGGCTACAGCAGTTATGTAAATGTACTGTCTTGGCAATTGTCACGCATCATTTCAAAGCTACTTGCATGGCCAACTACCACCAAGGGTCTAAACTTGCTTAGTATTATTTCAGTGGTCTGCGTCTATATTGGTGTTGCATTCTATTACAGTATGGTGGCTTCAATTGTTTTGCGCTGCTGTCGCATGCACGCGAGGAAGGTTGTGGCGAATGGCATCATTGCTCCTCAAAACAAAGGTAGGCGCTTGTGATTAAATTAGTGCATTGGATACCAAACAATTTATTTTTGATAATTATTATCAGTAAATATTAAAAACCAAATTAATTTTGAGTGATTTAAAGTTAAGTTGTAACAGAAACATCCTAGATGCTCGGAGATTTTATCTTTTTGATCCAACTGTGGATTAAATTCTACACAACTGCCATCAAAACCATGCTCGCACAATGTTAATGATTTGTTGATTTGATTTAAGCTAAAATCAAACCAGCTGTTGGTGCATTGGCTGGAGATTGTGATGTCTACATCGTTGTTTCATCCTTGGCAAAATTTGGACTTATAATGGCCTACTTTTTTCTCTGTGATAGGTATGTATGTACCCATGTAAAAACATGGGCTGAAATATTTGATTATTCATATTGTGTATTCATAGTGTGAAGTTGTGTGCATGACTCTTGTGTCTATTATCCTTCTAATCGCAATATTCCTGAAATAAATTCCGTTTCGAGTTGCTTTATACGTGGAACCATGACTTGGATCCTAATATCGATAGCCATTTTGAATTTACCCTTGTCATTCTCTAGTGTATAATGGACTCCACATCCTATGCTGATGATATTAGATGTCCAATTTTCAGCCATTGCTCCTTTACACCTCTCCTGCCATTTCTGCACCATTCAGTTTCTTCCCTGGATCTTGCGTAGAAATGTACATGCTGTCACGGAATGCAACAGGTGACATGACAACTAGGCTTTGTTGTGTTATGTGAGAGTAACGGACACATGTCATACCAAATAGTTTGTCATCTAGGCTTCAACTTTGGAAACTTGGTTCTAGAAAATGGAGAGAATAATATGGTCAAACATGCTATATAAGTTGTTATATTTTGTTATTATTAGTATGTGCTATTATGGGTAAAATGCTCCCGAACACATAATTATATAACCTAACCAGTGTTCTTTTGTGGCAATGCTGACCTTACTTAGTTTGTTTGTTCATGTTTTTTTTAATATTCCAGAACGAATTTCTTTATGAAGGAAAACAAGTATTATAGCACACTAAACTTTTTCCTTCCGTTTGGTTACGTAATGGCATTGGGCTTGTTTTTCACTGAGGACTCTAAGCAGGTGAGATAACACTCACGTTCTTATCTAAGTTGATTTTTATATACTCAGGAGATACCTCCTCAGTTGTATAACAGAATAGTACACCAGTAGAGGGCACCGGTGTGAGGCATTGCATTTATGGCTTGCTTTTCATATACTTGACCAGCTCATTGTACATTACACCATGAGTTATGAAATTGACCTTGCCCCTTACCTGGCAGCACATGTTTGCTGTTGCATACTTCACTTAGAAATCTCATAGTATAAAATAGTTTTTTTTGTAATAAATAATGCAACAAGTACTATTTATCGTAAAACTCTAATATATTATAATATAATATTATTAATTACTTTGTCATGTAATTTTGAAAAATATTCAATACATTTTATATTGCTGAGTAAACAGTCACTTTTTTGTGTGAAACATTCCTGCACTCTCTACTTTTGTTGTGTTGAATAACATGAAGTCACAGATTGAAACTATTGAGAATAATAACATAAATACAGCATAAGAGATGTTACAGCATGTGCCTTCCCTTACAGACTATCGTACTACACAGAGATCAGACTGATGAATGGAAAGGCTGGATGCAGTTGGTCATTCTCATATATCATATGACTGGAGCAAGCCAGGTAAGTAAAAGTGTATCTGTTTCAAAGTCCTGTTCTTATCACTTATTTTCTAATGATGTCAACTTTCGCAAGAAGGTTAATTCATTTGCGGTCAATTAAATTTGTGATGGTTTTGACAATGTAAGTTGTTCCGTATGATTTGATTGTCAGGTTTATGTGTAAAGGAATATTAAATTGGTTTGTATAGGTGAGGTATGCACGCAGTTCTATTAATTGATACATGTTTACCGTTTTCAAAGGTGCTGCCAATATACATGCAAATCCGAGTGCTGGTTACTTCCTACCTCTTCCTAACTGGATTCGGTCATTTCAGTTTCTTTTGGGCTAAGGGCGACTATGGCCTATTTCGTGTGTGCAAGGTATGTTCATCATTGTATATTTTGAATGTTAATGAGTGGAAGTGGAATAAGATATAACCTAACCTAATATTCCACATTACAATCCATTCTACACACTTAACCTTTCGCAATCTATGCTTTTCCACTGAGTTGACATATTTTAACAAATGCATGACATTTGCAACACTAACTATAAGAACTGTATTTAATGTTCTTCATCACACAATGAGCACCGATGATTGCCATATAACTGGGTAGCACTCAAAATCACTATCTAATATCAGTTTCAATTTTAGGTCTAACTTTACATTTCTTACATGCATGAAATTGTGAAACCATTTGATGGTAAAGGACATGTGAGATGCCACAATTCTAAAAAGTCAGTAAAAAAAGAATAAACCCCATGCATTGCATTACTTGTATAACAGGCATTGATGGTATTCATGCAATCATGCAATTATGGGGGAGCTGGCCTCTTTTTTGTGTCTCTTGTAAGAATATTAGTGAGTATGAAAACTGATCATGATGTGTTGGCTATATTTTGTGATGAAATGTTTGGGTTTGGATAGCAAAGTACACCTTTCTTGTTGTACATTTATACAATAAATCAATACCTAATTTATTTTCATTACAGAACAATAAATGCCTCCCATTCATTTCTTCTTTTCTGTGCCCTCATTAAAAGTTTTCATGCCATGTTTTTGTAGGTGACATCTTATTTGTTAGACCCAACATCCAAGTTTCAATTTTATATAAATGGCTTCCGGATAAGCAATTGGCTGATTCAATCATAATTCCCTGATAACTTATGTCAGATATAATTTTACATCTGATGTTGATTCATTGAACAGGAATTCTGTAATCGCATGCCTGCCACCAAAACATATCAGAGGGGTTTTGATATTTTTTTTAAATTATGGAAATTAGGTAGATTTTAGCAATTTCACTATGCCATTTCAGTGTCTGCCTACGGTCAACAATAACTCAAGAACCGTTTGACCCACATGTTTCAAATTGCATACAGTTGTTACTCCTATGGGAGTTATTTGAACGTCCTATTTTGGAGCACGCCAGTCGACCTACTTTCGAGCCACGCCCACTTTTTGGCAAAAATGAAAATGGCCATCGAGATTCATTCGATTTTTGTTAAATTTACCTACCTACCTACCTACCTACCTACCTACCTACCTAATCATACCTATGTTTAATATTGTGTATTAGATTCTTCGTTACAGTGATTTTACTGGAATATTTTATTGCTTTGTGCGATAATCGATAACCAAAATGGCGATCATTTAGGCGTAGCGCCATCTCTCGCCCAGATTTCAGACTTTCAGATCTGAAACATGTATTTTCGCATTAAAACTAACCCTGAAACAAAACAGGGAAATTTCTATTAGTATAAAACAGGGAATAAGGACATTTGATCACATTTTGGGCCATCATAAATGAAACACTTACCAAATTTTAAATATCTTCTTCCTCTTCTATCACACCCAATGTGAGCTATAGTGTCGTTGACACTTTCATTGCAAGTGCCATCTTTGGAGGGGTGGGTGGGTGGTTGGGGGATTGGGTAGGTAGGTAGGTAGGTAGGCAGGCGGGTAGATAGGGAGACAGGCAGGCAGACATGAAGGTAGGTAGGTACGTAGAGATAGATAGGTAGGTAAGTAGGGGTGTGTGTGTGTGCGTGCGTGCGTGCGTGAGTGAGAGCGTGCATACATGCATACGAGCACATGCATGCATGCACGCAAGCACGCACGTACACACACGTACATACTTATATATATATATATCAGGAGTTTATATGCTCTCGTTAAGGTACTCATACTAAATATATCAAACATCAAATAAGTCAAATGAGAAGTGCATAAATGAGAGACAAATGATGTGTGAATGATTCCTCATTCATGTACTCTTAATCAAATGTCAAGACATCTGCTATATGCATACCTATATTGCTTTATGTATGAGTGCATTAACGCTATTTTATTCGAGAATGAAAAATGCTCATTTTTCCTCCCCATTCCATAGTCCTTTTGCATCATTTTTACCTCATCTGACATAGTCAGATGCAGCTTGTAGAATCGCATGATCGTGCGTCCGTGCGTCCGTCCGTGCGTCCGTCAACAGTTGGGCACAAATCTTAACCGCTCGACGTACGGTCACGATATTTGGGACGTTGGGGGGGATCGTCAAAACGAGTTGGGATGTCGAAGCTGGGAGGTCAAAGGTCAAAGGTCAAGAGGTGTAAAAGAAGGGGAACATTCCCTCCTTAACTTAAGGTATAGGGAGGAAATGCAGATTGCGGCACAAATCTAAACGGCTCGACCTAGGCTCGTGATAGTCGGTGTATAGCATCATGGTAGGAAAAGCATCACTGTGCCGAGATTGGAGGTCACAGGTCAAAGGTCAATGGGGCACAGGGCAGATTTTAGACATTTTCTGAGGACATTGGTGTGACGAGCGATTGAAAAACTTTTTGTTTCACGCGGTGACTAGCATTTTTATGGCTTTATTGAAAGGACCATGAAATGTACTTTTCTGCCTGACATGCGAAGAGTAAGTGTCGGATAACCTTTTGACCCTCAAGAGGAGGGTTAAACATGGATTGTTTGACTGTTAACAAAGGACTGAACTGCTTTTGCTATTGTGGATGTGAGGCTACAGTTGCACAGTTCAATTGCAAAGGCAAATGTTTTGAACAAGGTTTCACGCTCCTTAAATCATATTATTTTCTAAAGCAGTCTGTATTAGCACCCTGGAGTAGCACCCTGTAATAGCACACTGTAATGAACCCTGAATGCTTGCGTGTGTAGGCAAAAACCATTGGCGGCAGCCCATTACGCATGCATCGGGGGTGATACTGGCACTATTCTAATCATAATTATTGCCTGGCAACCTGCAATGCAGATGTGTTAACTCACAGCTGAGCGAAATTCTCGCCTGCCTGAATATACTAACCCTGGATTTCAGCAACTCAATGGAGTGAGGTTATCACGCACGAAGGGTGATGCCATCTTTGATTATTGATGACACTTGCACGCGCCATCTCGCGGCAACTGCTTTTGCTATTAGAGCCACCTCCACCCGCCCCCTCCCCCCACTCTCCCCCCACCACCACCACTACGCTCGCGCTCGACGCATATCCATGATAACATGTTAATATAGCGAGGTCATTAAAGTTACACAGCTGTATCTTTATTACTGTACTACTGGTATAGCAAAGCCTAGCTATCATAGATTTTAGATCTGTATTAGTAGTATCCTATATATATGCTCTGAGCGCGAACGTGGTGATGGGAGGGTGCTCTTCATTCGTTTGCCAGTGAGTTTAGCATCAGAACACCTGCCGTCAGGTGAGCGCTGTGGCTCTGCGGCACTTGTTTGTCACTGCATCCTATGATTGAAAAATACCTTACCAAGTTACCTGTGCCCTTTCGTGCTCTAATTACGTGAAGCTAGGCAGGTAGCCAGATGTTTTGCACACACTGCACGTGACGGTGTGGGATTATAGGCATTATGTTCTCTCCTGGTGTCATGTAGGGCTGCATGTAAAAGCTGTAATGCATCTCTGCGGACTAAGAATAGATACTGAATTCTATGTGATACAGGATACCTGTAACTTGCTAACAGGGGCGAAGCCAGGGGGGTTCGGGTGATTCGGATGACCCCCCCCCCCCCGCGGGATCGGGAGTTCCGCTCAAATGTATACACAAATTTTCAACCCTATTTCGAATTCCAAATACCGGTGGTGGTTAAGACAGATTAACAAAATTAGCAACAATGAAAAGTTCCATCGATCCTCATTATCGATTACTTCGCAGCATTATGCAGCACAGTGCAGTAGTGCAGTAGCCATATTATTATTTTACTGGGTGGATACAAACATGTACGTACACAAGTCCAGTTCGGATGACAAATTCTGCATATTTAAAGCAAAGGTCAACAGATTGCAGACAGTAACGAACAAACCACACGAGGCGTGGGTAGGACACGTTGTCACATTATAACAATGAATCCTCGAAATGGTCCGATTACGAGACTCCGCACAAACATGAGTGTCAGAAGTGAGTTTTCACACTGCCAGATTAGCACAAAATAAACAAGTCCTGGAAAACCCCTAATTGTCTACGCTTCTAATCACAATGAAAACTAGTTCCCAGAAACTCATTAAGGCTCATTAATTACAGGATAATTATCTAGTACACGTATATGTATCGTTCCTGCAGTATTGTGAGAATAAAGTGAGAAATAATGAATTTAGCATTGTGTAAAGTTTTTATTAGCTCAGCTGACGAAGTCAGATGCAGCTTGTAGAATCGCATGATTGTCCGTCCGTGCATCCGTCAACAGTTGGGCACAAATCTTATGCTAGCCGCACACTATCCGACCCGAGCGTGATTTGAAGGCTTACGATTGGATTGAGATGTTCTAGTTTGGCTCGGGAGGCTTAAGATTGGCTCGAGAGCATGACACTAACTCCCTCTGCTGGTTCTCCACTTCTCTCCAGTCTCTCTCTCTCATCTCTCTCTCCTCTGTCACCACACACAACACAAACGACGCACACGCTCTTCTCAACCGATCCCGGCAATGCTCCGAATCCGAATCGCGACCAGCATTTTTGAAAAATCCCGACTCCGAAATATTCCGAACTCCGACGACAATTTATGATCGGAACGCCCGAAATCCGGAACTCCGATTCTTAAGAAAATTGTAAATCCTG